ACTTCAGCCATGCCTTTTCTTAAAGGGAGTTGACAAGATCGAAAAAATGATCTGCGTCAGGAGGCCTGTACATGACTGCAAACAGAGCCGTGGAACTCGGAAATTTGACGTGTAACCAGATTCCTTCAAGGCTATCAAAATGCAGATCTTTCCGCTGAGTTGCTTGCAAATATTCTGCAAAATATAAAGCACAGCCACCGCCCTTTCGCCCTTTCCGATCTAGTCGCAAAAGTTTCATCCCGCTAATATCTAATACTGAGTCCGGAACTGTTTTGTCGAGATGTGTTTCGGTTATTACAATCATGTCAAATTTGCATAATAGCTGTAAAAATCTCAGCACGTCCATCTTGTTTCTTAAGCTGCAGACATTTAAATGAGCTACTCTTAAATCTTTTGCTGGAAAACTTTGTAGATGTTGAGTAAGGTCGGCGAGATGACTGTCACCATCCTCCCCGTTATGGATGGCGTTGTCAGTGTTAAGTCCTTCTTGTCCTTGGCATTTGCTCCTCGCTGTACTCGGACCTGGGTTCAGACTTATGTCCCCACTTTTTTTTGGTCGAATAAGCTGGAAAGTAGAATCGGAGTTAGAATAGCCATAGTCTCTTCTACTAACTATGGAATAGCGATTTACTTTGGAGTGGTAGTAACCCTTGGCTTGATGATGTGAAGCTGCTAATCCAAAATGGCGTCCGAAGTTGCATGCCGACTAAGGTAAAAAACGTGGTATAAAAGCATCCTGCTGACATTTCCTATTCACAACTTCAGCGACAACGTAGCGAGAGACACTTCCGAGTTTCCGATTAGGCAATATTTCCCAATGTAGTTAAAGGTGCAAAGGTAAAGAACATACAGTAATCGAGAGCTAAAATAACCGTGACCGGCCGCCATCTACGGGCTGGTTTTTTTTTTAAACAAAGTTTAGCCATTATTTAACAAATCGCATCCTAAATAATGCTCAATTTAGCTGGACCTTGTATCTTTAGTGAATGGTGTCAAGACGGCCGAAAGCTAACTATTGAAAGATATTTACCATATTAAATCGACCATCTTGCAGAGAAAACCTAAGGCCCATTGATCCCGTAAAGCCATGGTTTGGGTTAGACCTCGTGTTAACTACCGGCCCTATTGGTGTATGATAAGATATTTTGCCACGTATAAATGGATGTCAGTCACTGCATGACTCTTGCTCCTTGAAACGTGTCATAAAGGCGTCTCGGATATCACGGAAAAAAATCGCCCCTCTTTTAATTGCCATGTACAGAAGCTCAAAACCAATTAGACTCGAACTCGTCCATAGGTGAATCTCAGTTCGCGTATCATGATTCGTACGCAGTTAGTGTCGTGGGTAAGTTGTTGCATGTCGCGGTTGAATAATTTATGTAAAATAACAATGCGATCGTCTCTTCTCTTATTTAGTGCAGTTAAGCAAAACGCAACATACCTGGGAAAGGTGGCAGCTAGGTAGCACTATACAAGGTAGAAAAGTAGCGAAACAAATAATTCTGATATCAGATAGAAACTGGCTGTTGGGGAAGGTTTTGAATGATAACTCAGTGATTACTCATGATATGATATGATAACTCAACCAACGAGAGCAGTAAAGGGAGCTTCAGAGAAGACAACCGACAAACCTACGAGCACTCGTCGAGCGTCGACACCGACAACCTAAGCAATTTATGTAAAATAACAATGCGATCGTCTCTTCTCTTGTTTAGCGCAGTTAAGCAAAACATAACATACTCGGGAAAGGTGGCAGCTTGGTAGCACTATAGAAGGTAAAAAAGTAACGAAACAAATAATTCTGATATCATATAGGTTTTGAATGTTCGACTGAGCCTTGTAATACAGCCCTTATAAACCTGTAGAAGGATGCGACTGTTCTATAGATAGATAACTGTTAAACAACCAGAGAATGACGAACGAGAGTTTCAGTAATTTTTTTCCACAACTGGATTCCGGTGGTATAAAGAAAATAAAAAAGAGATTTAATGTTAGCGGGTATGAATTATGTTTTGGGCGCAACACAGAGTCATTTCAGCCCGAGCCGCTGGGCGAGAGTTAAAAGGATATTTTTGCCGAATGACTTAACACTGTGTTATCATTATTATTATAACTGTTATCACTTTGGAGGGCACTGAGAGAAAAAAATAAAAATAAACTGGAAAGTGACAACAAAAATGACAATAAAACAGCGTGAACAATCACGCAAACAAGCTAGCGATCTGTAATACATTTTAGCCCGCTAAAAAAAGTAGTCCAAGAAATGCGTCATAATGGCGGGCGACTGTACCCATAAAAGGCGTAAAAGGTGCATGAGGCGAAACGCACGCAACAGAACCTGCTACCAGGCTAAACAGACGGCGGTAGGAGGTCTTATAAACGGCGGTAGACCGTCGGTAACCGGTTTTTATTGAACTCGGCGCTTAATTCAAAACGTTTGTTCATATGTTATATTGTACTTTGGTTAAAGAGTCTTTCGTCTGTTTTGAATTCGATGCTTTTTGAAAACAACAAGCTATTGAAAATAAGTCAACGCGTTTTGAATAGAAATCAACACAAAAGGAATTGCTAACTGTTTCCTTTCTCCAACGTGTTCAAGTGGATGGTCTATTAACTCTTTTGATCATTCATTCAATTTTTTTTTCTAACTCATTTGTTCAATTTCAAACCATTACACACTTTTAAATAACCATCTGTGCTTGTAAGTCCTCTGTACGTTCGTGCTGCGTGATCTGTCTTACTAATTTTGTTTATTACAGACTGCACGCTTTGAAGACATTTCAGCGATTAGTTGTAAAAAATATATTTACTCTTAAATTGTTATTAACCACTTGCCTAACGCATACCGTAGAAGCTGTAGTAACGTCAGCTTAATGGCTGGTTGATAATGTTTAACAGCAGAGCGAATGACTAAATCGATAGCATGGCTAGTGCCCAAATGTCTGCTAAAATAAGAAGCTGATAATTGAGATAAAACGATTGAAACGAAACGTTTGAGGCCCAAACCATCTACAACATTTGGTTGCGTGAAAATTGCGCTGCGAATGTACAAACCACGATGTGTAATTTTTGTTAGAGGAATGTCTATAACATGCCTAATCTGTGATCATTGCGGATGCATTTCTCAAATACTTGATGGGGAAAAAAATCAATGTGGATAAAGGATGCGCTGACATACATCGATTGCTGAGCGTAAAATTTTCACAGGTACTTCCTTGGTCAGTAAATTAAAGTAAACATGTCCTTAAACACCTTCAGGCTTCTTCACTATTGCCTCAAAATAAATAACCATATTTTCCACTACGCACAAAATCCAGTCAAAGCGAACACAAAAGATGTTAAAAAATACTTCATGCCATTGAGGTAACTACGAAAACTTAAGATGACTAAAAACTGGTTCATCAGAAAGCATGCGTTCGGCAGCATGCTTTTCTAAAGGATGCAACACCACTGTTTACGTTTGTGAACGTTATGTTACCTGACTGAGGTTAGCTCGCGAAAGCACTTACAAATTTGCGGGCTTGCACCATAAGGGCGGCTCCGAAAAACTTCGGAACGTAGTCTCTTTTGTTCGGCTTCGAAAAGGCCGAATGGTGAAGACGACGCTTCGAAGAATCGGCCGCCTTTGATCTTTTTATTTGACAGCTACACCTCTATATAAGCATGAACTCCGCAAAACTGCATTCAAATCACTCAGATCAGGACAGAAGACGCATCCCGTGTTATTTTATACTAACGATGGCTTCGCACGTGGATATCTCAATTCGTGTTCCGCTGAACTCTTCGTCTGTGGCTCCTTCATCTCGAGCCAGTCTGCTTCCGCACAGACCTTCCCTCGAAACAGTCTCCACTCAACCGGTTTCCTTTTCTATATCCCGAATTTTGGGGTTTGAAGGCAACCCCTTTCAGCCTCCGGCATATTCGCTACCTCCTGGTATGTAGAGTTCCTTATATCTTAAAAGGTGACGTCTATTTTTGAAGTTCAAGGACGTAGCTGATTGTATCTTCAGTGAATTAAGTGTCATAGGGAAATGAGTCTTTGGATAATATTTTTCCTCCAAATTTGAAAGAAGTAAAACTAGATCAACGGAACACAAATAACTGTCATGTTAGGACACGATCAACATAGATTTCCAGTAAAGAGCTAAAGAAAATGTTGCATCCGATAAGTTGAAGGGGCGACGCGAGAGGAACAATCAGAAAGTAAAATAAATTTAAGTTAGACGACCACGGATTATTACTCTCTATACCCTCTACAGTGGTTTCCTTGGACTAACGCAAGAGAATACCATCTCCCTGTAATACATGACCTTAAGTGCTAATTTACTTGGAAAATGTAGAACACATAGACTATGTCTACAAGGTTTGCAAATTAATTCTGGTTTATCGGATTAAAATTGTCCAAGTTGTTGTTGGAATCAAATATGTGAATGATAACCTCCTTGCCTTCCTTCAAAATGCTTATAGTTCGTTTATAAAATGACTAGATATTTAGCCATGAATGAATGAAGTCATTCCTTTACCTTGGGTCCTGTTTCAGCTTATGATAACTCAACCAACGAGAGCAGTAAAGGGAGCTTCAGAGAAGACA